ATTTGTGTTGCGCTGATGAGCGCTGGACTCAGGGGAACTTTGAAACACTTTGTAATCATATTTCTGATAATATAAGCTGTGAGACTCGGTCCTCTTCTTCTCTACCTTTGTCTATGGTTGAGACTATTGATCACTGCGTGTGAAGATGATGCATGACATGTACACATCTGCGTGAGATGGTCCCCAGGACCCATGCAATTTTGGTATCGGAGCAGATGCTCGCTACTCTCATAGCGCTGGTCTGATCAAGGCCGGCGAGAAGAAGTGGTGATGGAGGAATAGCGAAGGAGGGAGGAAGAGAAGAAGGGTTTGATATTGTGGGGGAAGCAGGCCGAAGAAGAAGTGGCAAAGTCTACTTACCTGGAGCGTGCGGAGCGTCGTGGAGCATCATCGGCGGCATCTTCAAGAAGAGAGAAGCACCTCCTTTCCCTGAACCTGCATGCATGTGTGTGTCCCCTACCKTCTCTCTCTCTGACCCTCTGAAGGTGACTGCTGCTGATCTGGTCAGGAGTCGAAGTCTGGATCTGGGTTGTCATAGATGTCAGGTCTGAGCCGTCAGAGTCTGATGACCCAAGTGTGATGTGTCAGGAACTGGTCACACTAGAGTAGGTGGTCTAGTGTTCTGCGAATAGGAGTAGGTCTCTCTCCTATCCCTCTTGATAGGCAGGCTGGGTAGCGTCATCAAGAACCAAGAGTCGATGTGGGAAGTGGCTATGTGCCACGTCAGATAGCAGGTACCAGGCAGTACAAGGATGATATTGAGCATCTACAGGGCCTGTTAAGCCCGAAAGAAAGAAACATTGGAACGAAGTATTCCTGCCTGGTTGGATAAGTGAACCATCTGAATCTGCGATGTACTCCATACCTGCATCAGACACCCAGCAAGTTAGGAAAAGAAAGAAAAAAAAAAAAGTATATATCAAGAGAGGCAAACACATTGTCAAAAGTTTATCCAGGGAGCCAGACAGCATAGCACAGAAAAAAAAGAAGAGAGTATATATACTTGTTTGATCTATGCAGCACCTTCTACAGTCCACTGAAGCAAAAAAAAAAAAAAAAAAAAAAAAACGCAGAACTCCATTGCCACTAATCCAAGTAAGTTGAGTGGGATAGTACCTTGGTGACCCGGCGGAGGGTTTCCTGTGCCGGTAGTCATCATGGATGACTATCCCATCCAGGGCATGTTGGCCCTTTCTGTCTTGTTGGGGCCGTTGTTCCGGCTTATGTTCCCACTGGGGTTCGGGCGTGTCTGCACGTCCCGCATGCTGATGCAGTCTGGAACAGTGAAGCCTGGCCCTACACCTGCGGAGCAGGCAGAATTAGACCGCAGGCTGGCAGATAAGAAAAAGGAGAAAGAAGCAAAGAAGAAACAGAAAGAAGAAGTAGCAAGAAAGAAAATGAGAGAGAAGATGGAGAAAGAATTGGAAGAGGAGTTGAAGAGTATAGAAGAAAGTGAAGTAGAAGAACAAGAGGAAGAACAAACACTGCAGAGACGTCGCCAAGATATACCCGAAAGCAGCACAACGACCCGCCTTCACGTTGAACTGTTGGACTGGGGCAGCCGGTACTACTACTCCAACGAGCCATTAAAGGAAACCGATGAGGAACGAGATACGTTCATCGCCAAGTTGGCCACTGTGACAAATGTTGTTGAACGAAATCTGATGCTGGAGGAAAAAAGGTCTGAATTAAATTGCAGGCTGTTGGCCGCTAGGCGGCAAGAAGTAGAAGAGAAAAAGAAGTTGCATGCAGAGGGGGAGAGATTGCATAAAGTTCTAGA